GTAATCTCTTACAGTAGCTTCTTGAGCATCAAGGCAGTGTCCTGTGCTCAGCTGAGAAAAATCTCAGTTCATCCTGAACAGGTATTTATAAAAATTAGCAAATATTTATAGTCATACAAGCCTGGCTTTACCTCTGTGAAGTCAGCCTCCCGATTGGCACCAAGTTTTTCTGACTCCACTCTTTGCATTGACGAGACAGTTTGTGGGACATTGGCCTACAGCTTCTGCTGTTTCGGCCTTAAGGTCAAAGACCTTAAGATGTGCTCTTCTCAAGAGGTCCTGCAGTTTTCCTTCTTCCCAAGTGAGTGCTTTGGTGTATTTATCAAACTAGTTGAGTGGCAAAGTCTGATAGGAGCATGATCCATTTACCCAGGGTCCCGAGCCATCCTTCCTCTTTGTAAGTTGTTGTGCATAATTGGATTTTTTTTTTGAGTTCTTGGTCAGTGTAGGCTGGAAATTCTGGCAATGTGGGTGTCACCATCTTTGGTGTGGCCAGAAGGATGGCTGCTGTCTGGAGGGCAGCCTCCTTCACTGCCTCATCCACCCAACTGTTTACCTTTGAGATTGAATCTTTTTTTCCCCTGGTGCCCAGGGCAGTGGATGACAGCTATGTCTTGGGGTAGCCATATGGCCTGTAAGAGGTCTAAAATCTCCTGTTTGTTTTTAATAGTCTTCTGTAGTCAACAATCCCCTCTCCCTGTAGACGGCACCATGGACATGTAGCATGGCAAACATACTTGCTGTTGGTACAGACATTAAGTCTTTTTCCCTTTCCCAACTGCAGGGCCTTTCTTAGAGCTATCAGCTTGGCCCTCTGGGCTGATGTCCCAGGAGGCGGGGCCCTGTCCATATGACCTCTTCCTCAGTTGTAACTGCTGCCCTGCATATCTGATACCATGTAGATATGTTACTGCCATGTAGATAAGTTACTGCCATCTGTATACCATGTTCCCTCAGCCCTTGACAAAGGAATGCCCTTGAGGTCTGGTCTGATCCCACGGAAATGGCTCAGGATGTCCAGACAATCATGGAGAGGCTGATCCAGGTTCGGGTCTGGGAGCAGGATGGCAGGGTTCAAAGGCACCGCTGTGGGTGTATTTGATCCTGGGTGGGTTAAGAGCAAAGCCTGATCATGAGTCAGCCCAGAGTTAGGAAGCCATCTATCAGGAGGATGTTTAAGGACCCCCTTCATAGCATGGGGGTGTCCACTTTAAGAGTTAGTTTGTCTGGGTCTTTAACTAAAAAGCTGTTGCTGCGATTATGCAGAGGCAAGGAGGCTAACCAGAGGCCACTGGATCCAGCTTTCAGACAAGAAGGCTGCTAGCCATTTTTATGGCTTGCATCAATACCCCTTTGACCGTTCCCTTCTTTTCATCCATGAACACATAGAATGGTTTGGTGACATCTGGTAGATCTAGTAGTGCCAGAGCAGGTGTATTCGGTAGAGCTGCCTTAATTTCACCAAAGGCCTTTTCCATCTGTGGGGTCCAAACAAGGGGAGTCTTTCCCCTCCTCATGGCCTCATACAGGGGCCGAGCTAATTCAACAAACCTACAGAGCCCAGGAATTCTCTGACCTCTCAGTGGTTACTGGGTCTGGAGACCCTCAGGATGGTCTCTTTTCTTGACGTGGTGAGCATGTATAGTGCTCTCCCTTTGATCAGTTGCTGATACTCCAGTCTGATCAAAATGGATGTAGGCTCCCATCTTAGTTAATAAGACTTTTCCAAACAGTAGGTATGGTGTTGGGGACCAGCCACAACAAAAATCCCTCTCACCAGGGTAAAGGCGTGGGGATTAGAAGTAAAGTAAAGAATATGAAGAGGCGAATGAAAATAATCAAACAGAGAAGCATATAGGATAGTATCGGGAGGGAATTCCAGTGAGTACTGAAAATTCACCCGTGTTTAATTTCCAACTGCTTAAAATACCCCTGACCCAAAAGTTAGGAGTAAGACAAAAGACTGCATTAACATGATACAAGGAAATGAACATACCAACAGAAAGTCTGTTACTAGAACAAAACAAGTCACCAAGTCAAGATCCCGCCCTAGAGCAAATTCTGTAGGCAAACCACTCCCTGGGTGGAATCCCAAATCATTTTCATAAAGGGAACTGGAACTTAGTTGGATCCTTAGACTTTTGTTTGAGGTGGGAACAGATCTACCTCTCTATTCCTGGAGCACAAGGTCTGGCAGTTAGCCATACCTGTAGACAATCACCTTGAGAGAGCAGAACTCTCTGGTCAGCATCTAGGTGGGGCCTTCGTCTGAGGCAGGCGCACAGTAGCCTTGAAGGAACTAGAGGTAAGCCCAACTCTCTGACTTTTGGTCAACGTGGAAATAGGCTCATAATTTCGGGCCTCCACAGTATGGGCACTCAGGGATGACCATAAAAGAGTGGGTTACTCAGTCCCATTTTATGTCCACTATCTTTGAGTTGTCCATGAGTACTGGTTCATCCCTGGAGCCCCTGGCACCCAGTACCATTTTGGTGGCATTTTGCCTAGGGTTTGCTTTAGAATGAAGTGATGTATTCCTGTTTCCAGCAGAAAATCTATGGGTTTCCCCTCCAACTTTAGGGTTACTCAAGGCTCAGGGAGGGGCTCCCCTTTAATCATTTGGTTTTTTTTTTTTTTTTCAGTTTTAATACCTTTGTTTTTTAACCCTGTCATTTAGGGCATTTATTTTTTCAGTGACCCGACTTTTTACAGTAGGCACATTGGTCTTTTTGCAGACTAGGTCTATTACACAGTCTCTGCTTTAGGCCTTTCCCTTTACCTGGTGGGTCTCCAAAGGCCAATGCCTGTGTTTTAATCTCTGGGCTGCCCGATGCAGCTACAAGGACTTTGGTGAGCCCCTGTACCTGTCTGTCTTCTGGGATCTCCCTATTATTGATACTAGCTCCGCAACCGCAGTGAGTTCAGCCAACCTCTTATCCTTAAAACCTTCTCTGTAACTTACGGCAGATATCTGGTGCTGACAAAAGCCAGGCTGGCTGCAGACCAATTCTCTGGTGCTTCCAGATCCAAGGGTGTATAGGTCTTATGAGCTTCATTCAACCCTCTAGGAATGCTCCTGGTGTTTCTTCAGGCCCCTGGAATACCTGACTAACTTTGGACAAATTTGTGGGCCACCTCGCAGCAGCCCAGAAAGCCCCCAATTAGACTTTCAGCCTCTCCATACCTTTCTCTGTGTTGAAATCCCAACTGGGCCACGTCGCAGGAAATCCAGCATTTATGAGGTCTACATTGGCGGCTGCTCTTCCATCTGGGCCTGGAACCAATTTCCAAGCCTCTGTTCTAATCCAGTCCCTCTCCTCAGCAGTAAAGAGGACCTGGAGCCGTTGGAATCAATCAGCCCATGTGGTCTGGTGAGTGAAAAGGACAGACTCCTACAGGTCAACTAGCCTTGCAGGCTTCTCAGAAAACTTAGGATTTTGTAATTTTTAATTATAAAGGTTGCTAATGGCAAAGGACCAATGGCCTAGCAGCTGCCTGCCCTCAGCATCAGGTTGGCCCAAAGTGCAAGATGGAAGGACCATGGAGTTAGCTCCGGCGGGCAGCTCCTCCCTCTGAGAATGTGTGCATAGGTGGGGGGCTCCTCCACTCCTCCCCTTCTGCCCTCCAGGGCCTCTCATCCTGGGAGTGGGGTGGTGGCATAAAAAAGAACTCCTCCTCCAAATCGCCTGGAGAAGGCAGGGGTACAGGGGTACAGATCTATCCCCCTCTCTCCTTTAAAGAGTATGACCACATTCCCAACACAAACATTTTGTGGTGAATTAGCTTTGTTTTCTTTTTTTAATGAAGAAAACCAACTAGAATTAACAAACATGCTCAAATCTCATCCATGCTGTCAGGAGCCATTTCCCCCAAAAAGTATTGCAGGGACCATTGTCCTGGGGATGTTTGCAGAGAGCCCCACACCCCAACTGTATTGAGAACTGTTTGTTGGCGGAGCCCACCCCACACCCAACTATCTTGAGAGCTATCTGTTGGCGGAACCTGCCCCACATTCCAACTATCTGGAGAACTGTTTGTGGTTGGAATCACAAAAGGAACGATTCTGCTTGCATAGAGAACACTAGGTGTGTCCACTCGTGACCAAGTGTCACTCGTGACCATTGACCATTGCTGCCCCGACAAGATCCCATGCCCCTACCCCCTGCCCCCATCCCAAGCCAAATTCCTCATCCAAGGGCTATATAAGCTGCTGCTTATGCTAATAAACGGAGGCTTTGACAAGAGAATTTTGCTTGGCCTTGTTTCCTCTCTCCCGCCCATGTCTTTTCAGATAGTGCCTCTTCAGGACCCTGGAATAACTGACCAGCCAGGCTGGTTACAACCCTAGACTAACTGACCCACTGGGCGGTTACACCCTGCTTTGGCCTTTTACAACTTACTCTACTCCTTAGTTCCTATTGCTGCCCATTCTGGCTCAGCCAGACATTTTTACTTTAGACAATGTTTTTTTCCTCTTTTCTTTATTATTTTAGCTTACCGTCTTTTTTTTTTAAAGACAACATGAGAACTTTTATCAAAGTCCCTTTTGTGGTTTTCCTTAGTAATCTAGAATATTGTATGGGTATAGTACTTTAAACAAGAACAGAAACATACATATACTGTAACAGAAATATCGCTACATAAAAACCTGTACCAACAAGAAACATCTGAGACTAGCAGTTTTTTTCTCTTACCCAAAACAATGATAATTTGTAACCAACCGCTATAATGATGACAAATATTTATAACCCATTGGATCAGAATGAACAAAAACTACACTTTTTGTGGAAAGGAAAGCATAGTTTAGTTAGGCTGTGTCAGGACAGGACAGGATAAGGGGAAGTAACTGGCAGCGAGGATCTTGGTCCACAGTGGAGAATTTGGCTCAGGAAGGAAGGGAGGGGGAAGCGCAGCAGCTACTCCCAGGGGCAGCTTGCAGGCACAAAGTACCTGCCTGGCAGTCAGTATCCTACAAAAAAAAAAAAAAAAGGAGGGGAAGAGGCTCAGGGTAATCTCATGATCAAATGGGGGTACCATTGCCATGAAGTGTTGGTATTGAACTTAGGGCTTCATGAGTTCCAGGCAAATATCCTAGAGCTTCACCCCAACCCTTCACTGTGGGATTCTAGTAAGAGATCTACCACTGAGCCACACCCCAGCCCCTCACTGGGGGATTCTAGGCAGGTGTTTTACCACTGACCACGGCCTCTTCCCCTCCCTCCAAGTTCCAAAAAACCATTCCCACCACAGGCTTTCAGTATAATTGCACCAGTCACCAGTGGGGAAGAGTTCATGTGACATCTGCGCTGTTTTTATTATGAAATACTTAGTGGATTATACATAGGTCCATGTCGTCCTGCCTGGTCAGTGCCCAGGACCCCAGAGGGAAGGCACCATCTCCACGGAAGGCCTGACTTACTGGTAGACATATTTGTAGAGGAAAAGCCAGCTGAGGACAGTGCCTCTAGCTTCCTTAGTTCTATGTTTTCTAAGGATTTCTCTCCAGGGCCAGAAACTGGGTAATAAGATTAGTGAGTGCGGGTGGAGTATCCAGGGGACAGAGAAGAAGAAATGTTGGTGACAATTCCAGCTGATCACAGCAGGAACACATCTAGTTGAAGTGAAGCTCGAGATGAAGTGGATGGTGGCAGATGGCTGAGCTTGGAGAAGCCGGCATTGTACAAGTGGGTGATCATCATCAGTGCAGAGAAGGCTGGCTGGCTCTGGCCAGACCCAAGATTTTAAATGATTGTGCAGGCCTGCACACCCATGTGTGTGCCCAGGGAGCTGCCTTGGAAGTTATAGGTGACTTAGCAGCTGAGCCACAGCAGATAATGAAGTTATAGGTCTTCCTTGAGCTCCAGAACCTTCTACTGCAGCTACTCCCAACATCAGTGCTTGAGGGTCACATATTCTACATCTTCCTTTGCCTCAGGCCGCTTCCCAGCCCCAAACTGAACCAACTCTGAGTAGTGGATGCTGTCATCCTCAGGGCAGCTTGGAGTTACATTCTCATAGTCACCCTGCAGAACAGATGAAGGTAAGCCAGGTCTCACATGACCAACCTCTGTGCATTCTCTTCCAATGCCTTCTCTCATTGGTTCCCCACCACAGGGGGCCCAAATGTACAGATGAGGTCATCTTGTCTATAAATGGCTATGCTCTGCCCCTTAGGCACCTGTCTTGGCTCCCAGCCCAGCTCTCTGCCTGAACTGCTGTGGTCTGAATGCCTGTCCCTTGAGTTTCCTGTGTCAGATACGCACAGATTGTGGGATCTGTAGAAGGCGATTAGATTGATGGATTAATAGATAATCAATGTAGAGACTTTATTTTTTTAGAAAGTTGGGTTCCCTCTGACATATGCCCCCTGGCATGAATGTTTTGTGTCACCTCAGGACTCTGCCATGAACAGATATAGCTCTTTGATCTTAGATTTCCAGAACCAACCATAAGCCAAAATAAACCTCATTCCTTTATAAACCACCAGGGGTATTCAAGTGTAGCAAGGGAAAATGGACTGAAGACAGCCACCCTTCCCAACTTCACTATCTGTCAAGCGTGTCCCCCCAAGGAGCTCTTCGAGGCCCCAGATCCCCCAGCTTTCCATAGCTCTGCCTCCTTACCACGTGACGTTTCTGTATCACCGAGTAAGTGACCGTGTCATTGTTGTTTGGAGGAGAACCCTGTGTGTCTGAGGTCCCTGCATCACTGAGAGAGAAAGAAGAGGGCTACACGTGAGCTCTCCCTAGCAGCAGCACCTGGACTTCAACCCTTGGGGGGAAACGCCTTGTCTCTTGTGCGCACAGCACCACGGCAGCCGCCAATGAAAACAGGCGTGTGAATGCATCAAGCAGCCAGGCTCGGGGCATCCGCTGCTGATCTAAGGAAACAGGTCCCGTTGTCATGGAGCAAGAATGATGCAATGAGTGTCTGGTGGTGACTGGCACGGGCTTAGCACAAGAGGGCGGGCAGGGAAGCAAGGTTTTCCCCCCCACGCTCCCCCTGAATCGCAGGTACCAAACTCCAGTATCCTCCGTACCCAGCTCTAGGCGCGCCAGTCTCTGGAAAGAGCAAGATGGCATAGCTAACGCTGTCATCCATCATCGGGTTGTGGCAACCCTGGGACTGGGGGCCTTCTGAGAGAGGGGTCCTTCTAGCCTGGAAGACACAGGTTGCAGCTGTCACCCTCCCTCCCGATCATTTCTTTCTCCTGGCCTTTGACCCCTCAACAACTCCCTGGAGGTTTTTGGTTTGTTTGTTTCCAACAGGATCTTACAAAGTGTAACCCAAGCTGACTTCAAATTCGCCCTTCCCCTGCCTTATCTTCTCCATCACTGAGATCTCGGATGCCCACGTACCCTCAGCCTTTCCTCACCTCTTGTTTTCAAAGGCTACTCTGGGTTCACCTTCCTCCCGTCTTAACTTCTGTTTTTTGAGACAGGTTTTTCTCTGTGTAGCCCTGTCGGTCCTGGAACTCGCTCTGTAGACCAGGCTGGCTTTGGACTCACAGAGATCCACCTGCCTCTGTCTCCCGAGTACTGGGATTAAGGGCATGCCCCCACCACCACCACCACCACCATCCGGTTCCATCTTCCCATCTTACCTTTTTATTCCTTACAAAAAAGCTCTGGCCACTGGAATTTTCCTGAAGCCCCTGCTGGTTCTGATTATGTTTCCATCTAAGGATCAAGGATGTGTGAGGGTAGGTGGGGATGACCCAGCAGGCTAAGGGCTGGGGGCGGGGGGAGGCAGAGGGAGGAGGGACAGCGGACAGCTCACTTTTTCTGAAGTTTCATCCCCCAGATAGTCAGGATACAGACAGCGAGGCAGAACCCTAGTCCCAAGGCAACCCGCTTGCCGATGGTCTCTGGGCTATCTGGTGAAGAAAGAGACAATGGCTCACCCCACCTTGTAAAAGACGGTGATGCGCAGAGCATCCTCCCGTCCCCCTTCACAAAGCCTACTCCTTGTCTGCAGTTCTATGGTAGAGTGTTGTGGAGAGAAGGGCCAATTCTTTGTCCTAGTAAGAGCTATTTCCCAGACACGTCACAAACAGAGTCTGTGACCCTTGCCCTAGAGCAGTTTGATCAGACAGTCAGAACTTCAAGGGCACCCAAGCAGACCCAGCTCCCCAGGAGTCCTTGCAGGCTTGCCCAGAGCAAGAGGCTCAGCAGTTCTCTGCCTGAAGAGAGTGCTAGAGAGATGGGATGGGCTACAGTCATTTAAAAGAGGCAGGGCACAAACAGAGCATGGTGACTCATCTCTGCAATCCCAACACCCAGGAGGCTGAGGCAGGGGGATTGCCTGGAGTTCAAGACCAACCTGGGGTGCATAGCAAGACCCCAATATCAAACAAACAGAAAGAGTATGGGCAGGTTTCCTAGAGGACAGAGACGGGGTTGTTTTGTTTTTGAGGCAGTTTTTTCTACATAGCCCAGGCTAGCCCTGTAGTTCCGGTGATATCCCTACTTCAGTCTCTCAAGCGTCTGGGTTCAGTGTCCTCTTTGTTCTTGAAATCGTTTTTAAAAACCATGCACTTGTATTATCTTGTTTAAAACACTAAAATATCACAAGATAAACGAGGATCTTAGTCATCAAGGAGGAGATACACACATAGAGGGAAGAAGCTAAGGAAGGCAACAGAGAGACAAGGAGCGCCCAGAGCTTCTGCTGAGGCAGGCCTCTTGAGGGAAGAAGGAAGCCAGGCTCGTGGAGCAGGACAGGGTGACCTTCCAGCCAGGAGCTACTGGTTGGTTGCAGGGTGTGCCTGGGCTGAGCTGGACACGGGAGGGGTGGGGGAAGAGGGCTGTAGCCGCCAGGACAGAGGAGGGAACTAAGAGAGGATGGGAACTTACAGTAGACAGTGAGGGTACTGGGCGGTGACACGTCCTTGCCCAGCATGTTGCTACCTTGGCAGCGGTAAGAGCCCGTGTGTTGGACCTTCAGCGGTTCCAGCCTCAGCTTCTGGCCCGAGACGTGAAGGTCTCGGTTACTGGGGTCAAACCAGACGTACTGCGAGACGGGTGGGTCGGCATCACTCTCGCAGGACAGAGTGGCCTGTTTCCCTTCCATTATGCTGTCCCCGGGGCTAATAGACACGCGCAGCCTCCGAGGGGCATCTGTGAAGGGGAAACCGAGTCAGGCCAGGACTGCCGGTCACCTCATCTTCATCGCACGTGGCCCCCAGTTCCAGCCACTCACACAGCACGCGGAGGTACCAGGACTGCGACGGGGTCTCTCCGATGGAGTTGTTGACTAAGCAGTTGTAATTTCCAGAATCCTCTGGGGAGATGGGGCTGAAGCTCAGTTCTTTCCCTTCCTGCACAAGATTCCCGTTCTTCTTCCAGAAGAAGCGGACCTCTGCTGGGTGGCTCCTGGAGAATTCACATCGGAGGAGGACGTGCTCCCCAGCACGGATCTCTGATGACTGCGGCTTCACTTTCTGGACCATCACTTCTCTGGGTGCATCTGCAGGGCCACAACCTCGGGTGAGGTTTTCATTTCCTAACCTTCTTGATGTCTCCCCAAAATGTCCTGTGCCTTTGATTAGGACTTCCTACACCTTTGTTTGGTGTTCCCGTTCCCGAGGACCAGGACTTTCTGTCCTGAGTCCTACATCAATCCTCTCTCCCGACCTGTAGTCCAGGTTCCCAACCCCTCACCCTTCCTTCCCCATATCTCGGTGTAGCCACCTCCTGGTCACCCCTTGCCCTGTCACTCACAGTGGACATTCAGGCTGACGGGGGAGGCCCACGAACACCACTCGTTACAGGCAGCACAGCTGATGGGCTCGGAGTTCCACTTGACGTTCTGAATCCTCAGCATTCCAGGTGTGATCTCATACCCAGAACCTGGAGGATTCCACCTATAGTGGGTGACTTTAGGATTGCTAGAGTTGTAGTGACAGGCCACGGTCACGCTGTCTCTTTCCCGAATTTGTGTAGAGTTTTGAATAATTGTGGTTACCGCCTTGGGGGCATCTAGGAGAGTGGAGAGGTGAGAAAGTGTGGGCCCTGTTGTTCCCCTTTGCAGTGCCAGAGAACAAACTCGTGGCCTTGTACGAGCTAGGCAAGAACTCTGCCACTGAACCACGTTGCTCCCAGGCCAGAGAACAAACTCGTGGCCTTGAAAAGCTAGGCAAGAACTCTGCCACTGAACCACGTCGCTCACCCTACCCTATTTTTATTTTTATTTTTGAGCTGGGATCTTGTGTATTTGTATAGGCCAGCCTTGAACTGTGATCAACCCTCCTTAGCCTCCTGCATAGCTGAAATGGTTGGGCATCCACCACCCTGAGCCATTTGCAAAGCTGGTTTTCATTAAAGCCTTTGCACACTGTTCCCCAAATGAAACCTCTCTTGCATCCCTCTTGCAGCTCTGAGGTACAGGGCTGGAGCCCACGCTGTTTAAAGCTGTGTGATTGTGGGCTGCAGGCCTCCATCTACCCATCTGTTGAGTGGGGGACCACCAAGCTCTTCCTAAGGAATGCCAAACAATGGCAGGATAGCTCAGCACTCCTGGCTCTCACTCACATCTTTCAGTATTTCTTCAGGGCCTCTCCTGATGTTATGTCTCCATGTCCCTGTGAGGCCCCCCTAGCATTAGCCCAGGTGGGCCTCGAACTTGCTATATAGCCAAGATGACCTTGAGTTTATGATGCTCCACCTTCAGGTCTAAGCATTCCACCTACTGAGCCATGCTCCCTGCCCCTCTCTGGGGGATTCTAGGCAGGGGCTCTACCACTCACTGAGCCACGCCCCAGCTCTCACTGGGGGATTCTAGACTAGTGTTCGGTTGCTGAGCCATGCGGCCAGTCCCTTCCCAGTATGTTGTATGAAAGTATTCTGTCACTGAACTGCATCATGGGTCCTTTCTACTTTTGAGACCGTCTTGCTAAGTGGCCTAGGCTGACCTTGAACTCACTCTGGAGCCTAGACAGTTCTCACATTTGTGGTTCTTCTGCCTTAGCTTCCTCAGGAGCTAGGATGACACCAGGCTGGTGACATTCATTCATTCATTCAACAAACATCTACTAAGTAACTACCACAAGCCAAGGCTCTGGTCTGCACATCTAGAATGCAACTATAACCTCCAGTTCCCTAGTTTTCTGTTTGTCTTCCTTTACACTCCCATAATCCTTACACCCCCATACCTCCTGCACCCCACACCTCCTGAACCCCCATGCTCCCGCACCCCCACACCTCCTGCACCCCCACACTCCCTACACCCCACACCTTCTACACCCCCACACCTCCTACACTCCACACATCCTGAACCCCCACACGTCCTGCACCCTCACAAACCCTACACTCCCATACCTCCTGTACCCCCACAACCCCTACATCCCCATACCTCCTACACTCCTACACCTCCTGCACCCCTACAACCCCTAAACTCCCATACCTCCTACACTCCCACACCTCCTGAACCCCCACACCTCCTGTACCCCCACACGTCCTGCACCCTCACAACCCCTACACTCCCATACTTCCTGTACCCCCACACCTCCTGCACCCCACACCTCTTGCACCCCATACCTTCTGCACCTCATACCTCCTGAACCCCTACAACCCCTACACCCCCATACCTCCTACACTCCCACACCTCCTGTACCCCATACCTCCTGCACCCCCATACCTCATGTACCCCCACACATCCTATACCCCCACACCTTCTGCACCCCCACAGCCCCTACACAATGTTTTCCTTCCTTCTCTATTTCCTTCTTTCCTCCAGGAACCAGAAGTCAGTTGGCTGCTCACACTGGACATCCAGTTCAGCTTCCTCTTTTTTCTGTCCACGACCCAGGCGGTTCTCTGCCAAGCAAGAGTAAGTCCCAGCATGCCTCAGGGAGACTTTAGGGATCAAGAGCTTCTCCTGTGTCTCTCCAGGCACTTCTTTTCCATTGTGGTACCAGGTATAGTTTGTCGCTCTTGGGCTGGCCGGTGAGTCACAAACCAGCTCAATTGACTGCTCCTCTTTAGCAGGTGGGTGGTAGATGTGAACCCTGGAAGGTTCTGGAGGAACTGGAAGAAGTCACAGAGGCAAACGGGCAGGTGAGCAGAGCCTGCAAACCCAGGCAGGCAGGCAGGTACCAGTGCCTCCATTATCATCCCTCGAGGATCGATTATCCCCACCTCCCCTGCCAGCTTCAAGGGAACTCACACAGCACCGTGAGAGCCACTTCTTCTGACCGTCCTGTGCCCAAGTTGTTTAAAGCCTGGCAGCGGTATTTCCCACTCATGTTCTTGGTCACTTCACTCAGAGTTAGTGTGGGTGTCTGTTCCGGCAGGCGGTGCCCATCCTTGACCCAGGACACCGGGCTGTGTTCTGGGTTGCTGCTGGTGACTTGGCAGGTCATGGTCACAGAGTCACCCTCCATGACCTCTGTAGCACTGACCTTGATCGTGAGCTGCGGCAAGTCTGTGGGAACAGAGGAGCAGTGGGGGAAAGGACAGGGAATTCTCGGCGGCTCTTTTCATTCGGGTGGCAGCAGCTTGCACATCTGTGGTTCCTTTGTCCACCCGTCTCCCTGCTCCCCTTTCTCCTCTACCACCTTGCCTCCGCCACCACCCCTAGCGCTGTCAGAGAGTGACCCCAAAGCTGGCTGCTGGGCTCTAGGAGACCCAGTGTCCTACTTCCTCTCTTACCTCAAAAGGGGGCTTGGTCCTCGGACACTGCCGTGAGCACACTACGCTTGCACCTCAGCCCCTTTCCGCTTGTTCTTCCCCCTCCTTAGAATCTTCTTTGCCTGCCTTAGTCCCTCTGCCTCGTCAGCCAGGGTCTTCACCTTCTTCACAGAAGTCTCCATCCATCACCCCGCTTTCTTTTTAACTTTTGGAGGTATTTGTGCATTCCCACGTGGATATGGAGGTCAGAGGATACCTTGGGTGTTGTGCTTCGGGAGCTGCCCATCTTGACTTTACAGTTTTTGAGACGGGGTCTTCTACTGACCTGGAGCTCATCGGTTAGACTAGACTGGTTGGCTAGCGCATCCTGAGGATCCATCCGGACCTGCCTTCCCAGTACCGAGACCACAAGCTCGGGCCACTTTTACATTTTGTTGTTCTTCCTACCCCTCCTCTTCCTCCTCCTCTTCTTCTCCTTCTTCTTCCAGACAGGGTTTCTCTGTGTAGCCCTGGCTGTCCTGAAACCCACTCTGTAGACCAGGTTTGCCTTGAACTCAGAGACTCGCCTGACTCTACCTCCCCAGTGCTGGGATTAAAGGTGTGTGCCACCATGCCTAGCTTACACTCAATATTTGAATGTGAGTTCTGGGTATCAAACTCAAGTCCTCATTCTTGTCAGTCAGAACATTTTTAACAAAGATTTGTTTTCTTTGTGTATGTTCGTGCTGGAGGGGCTAGAGGCTTCAGAGCCTGTGGATCTGGAATGCCAGGTAGTTGTCAGCTGTCTGATGTGGGTGCTAGTAATTGAATTTGATCCTCTGCAAGAGCAGTAAGTGCTTTTAACCACTGAGCCATCCCTCCAGTAAAAAACAAAAACCAAAACCGTAACACAAAGGCTGGAGAGATGGCTCAGCCGGTGAGAGCTCTCACTGCTTTTCGGGAGGACTCAGATTCAATGGCCAGCACCCACATGGAGGCTTACAGCTGTTTGTAACTCCAGTCCTAGGGAGTCCAACTTCTCCTTCTGGTCTTCAGGGAAACCATGCATGCAATATGTCTGTACATATATGCAGGCAGAACACCCACACACATAAAAATGAAAGTTAAAAAATATTTTAAAAATTTATGTAGTATTAAGTTTTTGGTTTTTTGGTTTGTGTGGGTTTTTTTTTAACTATTAAGAAGGGGGTTTATTAGGTTGGCTAAAAATGCTCTGAATTATCTACCCAACCCTCATTTTCTTTTAATATATGCATCTCCTTCCGGCATTTCTGCTCTGTATTGACTAATATGTTTCTCATGTGTCTATTCCATTGCAACGCGCACTCCACACAGGCAAAACCTGGTTCAGTGCTGTGTTCTCTTCTCCACCTAAGTTGGCATTCAAGACAAGACCTGGCGCCTAATCAGTTCAGAGTTTTCTTTTTTGTTTTTGCTTTTAGGTAGGGTATAACCATATCCTAGAGTTCACTACTTAGATCAGGCTGGCCTCAATCTCACAGAGCTCCACCTACCTCTGCCTCATGAGTGCTGGGTTTTAAAGTGTGTACCACCATGCCAGGCTCCACAGTAAATATTCATTGCATAGATGAATTGACTAAATGAATGAACGGGGCATAAAATAACGCAGTGCAAACTTCCTTGTGTGGAAAACAGAGAAACCTAACCAGATGATCCCCAAAGTGTGCTATGGTGTGAGAATTGATTGATGGACTGAGTGGTCCTGGGGGTTGACCCAGGGTCTCACACGTGCTAGGCAAGCACTGTACCCCTGGGATACATCCCCAGCCCTTAGGTTTCTGAGACAGTCTCTCACTATGTAGCCCAGGCTATCCTCAAATTCAAGAGTCCCCTGCCTTGTCCTCCTGAATACCCATTTCCAGGTATCTTCATACTATATCTTCATACTCAACTAGTTAACTTTATTTTTTAAGTCAAGGCAGAGGCTAAGACGAATCTGTGTCTTGAGACCCAGGACGAACAGAGGAGACAGTGGAGGAGCCTGTGCCAATGCTAGAAACAGGTGATTGATAGCTGAACCTTATATGGACACAGACTCCTCTTACCTTAGTGGGGCAAAACAGGATTTAGGAAGAAGGTGACAAAGTAGTGTCCTTCCACATAGAGACTCACGTTTAACATCCAGGCGCACTGTGTTCTCGGAGAGCACATCCGTATGGTTCAAGACTCGGCACGTCACGTTCCTTCCGTGGTCCGTCCATTTTGGTTGGAAGGTGAGCTTGCTCTCTGTGTAGACATTCTTAACGGAATAGCTGACAAGGGTGATTTCGGGCTCTTTCAGGGACCACTCCAAGCGAATGGGGTACTGAGGGCAGGCATAATTCAGTGTACAGGTCAGAGTGACACTTCGGGATGCCTGGATTTCTTTTGATGGCAGCTTGATAGAAGGTGAGAAGGGTGTCTCTGGAAGAAAAGAAAGAGGAGGCCTGGGAGCTGGGAGTAGGGCACAGACTAACCTTCCACCCCTGGCTTCAGGCATCCTAAAAGCTGGGGAACAGGGTGCCAGTTAGCATTTGACTGCTGACTACAGGCATCCTTTGCGAGGCCATTCTATTCCCATTCAGTTCAACTTCTCTGTGGAAGGCCTTGGGGGACACTAAGCAAGCTAGGAAATTGTATTTTATATTTACTCTGTTTTTTTACTTCCTCGTTTTCTTTACTTTCTAAATGGCCTCAGGATCACCCAGGGTGAAATTCTTTGGTTTGGTTCTGCATGCATGCTAAGCGTTGGTGTCCGTGCCTATGCTTGTTTGGCAGCCTCCTTATTGGAGTCAGCCAAGCAGACCTCCCTATGGTGGGGTGATCCTGAGACCCAGGACTCAGGCCTCCACCAGGCTAGCCCACCCCACAGACGTGATGTTAAGATACATAGCCCTGGCAGCTCTAGTAGGTCCCTGGCTGTTGTCAGCCATGTCTGAGCCCTGTGCTCTTGTCATCCAGCCTAGAAACCAAGCCTTGGACTTGGTCACTAACAGGCTAAGAGATCTGAAAATCCAAACCTCTATCTTCTTTGGAAAGAAATATTTTTTTAAAAAAAAAAATGGGACAAATGCTTGTGCTGCCATTGATCTCAGTGCGGTCAACATCTCCTATTTGAGTGAAAAAGAGAAATAAATAGGAAAGGATATGACTGTTCCCGGGTATGTATGGTGGAGGAGAGGGAGAGCAGAGTCAGAGGCAGAGAGACCTGGGAGAGTCCAGAGTGAACAGGACCCTGAGCCATGTGAGAGGGAGATGGGGAGAGAGAGGGCACAGAGGGGAACCAGGTGCAGCATCCAAGAGGGCCGAAGGCAAAAAGGTGAGTAACCAAAATGCCTGAGTTTTTAGGAAAGGGCCTGGGCAGGGGAGAGGGGGAATGACCACAGCTCAGCAGCTGGGCTGGAGAGTTCAGGGTAGTGGGTGGGGTTTGCTGGCCACACCCTGTAGATATGACTGGTAGAGATTGAGGGGGACAGACCCAGGGAGAACCTGGCGGCCATTTCCGCTTAGATCTGTTAGTAGGCACCTTGCTCGGCCATTGGTCCCAGGGTTTGAGACTTCACAGTGAGCAGGCAACTCAGTACTCTCACCTCCCTCTTTGCCTCTGCCAGAATTGGGTGTGGTGTGCATTTACTGGGCTCAGTGCCCCGCGTGCACTCACTGGGTGCAGTGTCCCCCCCCCCCGTGCACTCACTGGGTGCAGTGTCCCACATACACTCACTGGGCACAGTGTCCCCGGTGCACTTACTGGAGATGTTGAGGTAAATGTGCTCCATCCACTTGTCCTTGCCCGATATCATCCTCAACCCCAGCGGCCCTCGGTCACTCTCGCGTATCTCGAGGATTTCCAGGGTACAGTTAGAGTTTCTGTCTCCCAAGAATGTTACCCTTCTATCCTTAGAAGCGGATGACCCAATCTTTGTGTTGTTATAGAGGACAATCCCAGTGAAGTCCTTGGTCTTATTGTCAAACTCGTATTTCTGATACAAGAGGATATTGAGCTGTCTGGCACCGGAATCTGACATTTTGTATGTGCAAGGAATCCAGATGCAGGCTCCCTCCCAGGCGAAGAGGGTTTGGGGATGCTCAACCACCCATGTCTGTGATGAGTCAAACAAAGCCATGTGTCCTAAAGAACAAAGCACTGGTCAGAAATTATTATTGAGGGGTGAGGACTTTCACAGGAGGTAGGAGGGGGAGGAGGAGCTTGGCACCTCTGTGTGCACTGCCTTCCAGCAGTTCCCCTCATGCCCCAGATCCATTCCCTTTCATTGCCCACTGACCTCTCCAAAGCCAGGTGCTAGTGTGGGTCTTACCTAGAATCAGGAGGAGCCACAGGCAGTGGACATTCATGGTGTCACGTCTGGGTGGCACCTAAGGATAAAAGAGTTAGTCTGTAAACTGGGTATGTTGGTGTGTGACTATCATCCCAGCATTCAGGACGTTGAGGCAGGAGTGCTGTGGGACAATAGTCTTGTACCCTGTTACTTATATTGCATTGTTTTAATAAAGCACTGATTGGATAGTAGCCAGGCAGGAAGTAGAGGCGGGACAACGAGAACAGGAGAATTCTGGGAAGAGGAAAAAGTCTGTCTGCAGTTGTCACCCAGACCAAGAGAAAGCAAGATGAAAATGCCTCACTGATAAAGAGTACCAAGCCACATGGCTGACACAGACAAGGATTATGGGCTAATGTAGGTTATAAGAGGTAGTAAGAAGCCTGAGCTAATGGGTCACCCAGTTTATAATTAATGAAGACCTCTGTGTATTTATTTGGAAGTGAATGGCTGAGGTACTGGGTGGGACAGAAAACTCTGTCAACACAGGAGGATTGCTACAAGTTGGAGGCCAGCCTGGGCTCTATTCTGAGGCCCTGTCTGAACAGCAACAACAATAAAATTGCCTTTGAGCCACGTGGCTGCTTTTGCTTCCAGAGTTTCATCCTCTGAACTCTGATCCGTTTTTTCTGATCCTGGGTTGGGGAGCACCGTACCCGGTTATAGGATGGAGATGTTTGGGGTGCTCATAGAGTCTTTTCTGGGTATACTATACTTCTTCAAGCAGAGACCTTTCTTTTTTCTCTACCTCTCCTATATATTTATTTGTTTTTAATTTTTACTTTATATTATTAGTGTGTGTGTGTGTGTGTGTGTGTGTGTGTGTGTGTGTGTGTGTGTGATGTCTGGGGCATGTGCAAGCTACACTACACGTGTGGAGATCAGAGGACACCTTGGTGGAGGATTTTGTGGAGCTGAATCTTTCCTTCCACCTTTGAGTAGGTCCCAGGAACCTAACTCAGATGGTCAGGCTTACGTAGCAAACACATTCTCTCACTGAGCCATCTAACTGGCTTTTCTAACTACTACAACTCCTTGTCCTGTTCTCAGGCTCTGTGGTGCCAGACTGTTGTATGCCTTCAATGCCAGGCCCTGGAAACAAGGATCTCCCAGGCTAATGGTGCAAGATTTTACATAGAAGACAGAGAGATTTGAAAGACTTGGGCGGGGGAAATCACATTAAACCAAATCTGAGTTAAGTGACTTAGGCCTGGAATTCAAGATGCTCCAGAAGCTAAGGCTAAACAATTGCAAGTTCAAGGTCAGCTTAACTACAAAGCAAGTTCAAGTCCAGCTTATTAACTTAATAAAACCTTGTCTCTAAACAAAGAGTAAAAAGAGGGCTGAGGGTTTATCACTGTGATAGAGGAATCTTCCAGTAGGGAAGTAGGTATGTGG